ATATTTGCTATTTAGTCCCAGTTCTTTATGCCGGAGTGAAAATTTGACAATCGGAAAAGTTGATTAGGAAAATTAAGGAGAGGGGATGACTGGTAGTTTGTTTAATTTAATAAAAATTAATAAAAGCATGGTAAGCAATTCGGTCGCAATCAAGGAAAAAATTCAGACTAAAGAAGCTGAAATTAGAAAGGTTTGAGAAGAAATTAAAAAAGAAAAGGAAAAACCAAAACTGGAAATAATTGAGGAGTTAAAAGGAATTAAACGCACTACTGGTCAACATCCTGGTGGCTTGTTAATTGCTTTACCCAACACTGATATTAATAAATATACCCCTTTAAACTGCCCTGCTGATAATCGACAGGCTGAGTGAAAAACTACCCATTTTGAGTATAGTTTTTTGTCCCAAATGTTCTTGAAAGTTGACATTTTGGGGCATGATGAACCGACAGTTTTACAAAAATTATTCCAGTTAACCGGTATTAATCCGCTAAAAATTTCTTTCCACGACCCCAAAATAATGAAGATTTTCACGGAGGCTGACACCTTAGGTATTCCAGAATTTGGCACCGATTTTGTGCGAGGGAGATTATTAAGAGATTTAAAACCGACTAAATTTTCTCAACTAGTGCAAATTTCCGGATTTTCTCACGGAACTAACGTTTGAACTCAAAATCAACAAGGAATTTATCGCCGTAAAGAGTTATCTTTACACGAACTAATTGCTTGCCGCGAAGATATTTGAAATTTTTTGGTTTCGTGAGGGGTTGACAACAAAAACGCTTTTATTGCTACTGAATACATTCGAAAAGGCAAATGAGAAAACTTGAATGAGAACATTAAGAAAGAAATAAAAAGTAAGTTGAACGACCGTGAAGGAGAATTATATTTTTCTATTTTAAGCAAAATCCAATACATTTTTCCCAAACCCCACGCTATTGCTTATACCATGACTGCTTGACGAACCGCTTATTACAAAGTTTATTATCCGCAAGAATTTTATTCGGTGCTTTTAACTTGTCACGCCACTGTCTACGATATTTGGCTGATGACTTTACGACCCCACGCTATTGCTTTTCGTCTAAAAAATTTGTCAGAAAATCCCCTCAATTACAAAAATAGCGAAAAAGAGTTAGTCTCTATTATCAGAGTTTTGCAAGAATTAATAAAGGAAGAAGAGAGAAGAACCCTCAGTAATCAGAAAATAGCCGCAATTTCTTCTGCCTTGGAAAATGTTAAGCAAAAGAAAGACGATTTAAGGAAAAATGGTAAAACGTGAAAATTTACCATGAAAGAAAAACAACTTTTATTTACTTTGAAAATAATCTGAGAAATGGAACGACGCCAACTCGGCTTTGTGCGGGGCGTGGATTTAAATAAATCGGAAATTAAAGACTTTAAAATTACTAACAACACTATTTATTTTCCCCTTACTGCTATTTCCGGTATTGGGGAAAAAGTGGCTGAAAAAATTGTTAACTATCGAAAAGAAAAAGGCCCCGTTACCGGTAATTGGTCAGAAGAATTAAAAGAGACACTAAACACTAACCATTTGGAGCAGTTATCTAACCTCCAAAAATACGACCTATTAATTAATTTGTAATATCGAACTAATTTGACGAGAAAAAGGAAAGAACCCTACTCCACTATGAAATTAGTGAATGAATTAAAGAATTTACTCGCAAAAAGAAAGCGAACCAACCGCCGTCAAGTCGGAGAAAAAATAAATTAGTCGAGAAAAACGTTAATGAAAATAAAATCTTGTCAAAACTAAACAATTATTCTTCCAAAAAAATTAACAATTCTCCTCTTCGTTTCAATATGATACATTAGAAATGTGGAGTGGGAACCATAATCTCCTTTAATTGGTTCTTCTTACGACTTTCGGTTGTTGACTTATCATACTTTTTGCGTGTGGCTTTTTTTAAGTAGACAATGTGGCGTTGCCGGTCCAACCAGGAAATATAATCCACAAGCCCCCGAAATTTCCCTGTCCGAACTTTTACTAAATCTCCGGCTTTTAATTTACTTTTGTTTCTTTTCATCGCCTTTCTTAATTTTTTGTTGTTGGTAAACCTCTAATCTTGCTTGAACTATTGTTATATTATTTTAACCTGAAAACTTTTCGCAATTTTTCCCGCGACTGTTTAACCAATCAACAATAGCAAGTTTTTGGTTTTTTAGTTCGGCTAGCAGCTGAAAATAATTTATTTCTCTTCTTCTTTACTATTCAATTGATTGACAAGACCAAAATAAATAACCACCTTTCTAGTCTCGGAATTATTTTTTTTGACTAAATTTACTAGTAAATAGTTTTTTTCTTGTCAAAACTGGGGATTATTTTCCCCTCACTCTATAATATTTAAGTTGTCAGTTGTTAATTCGATCAAAAAGTCTAAATTATCAGCAGAAGCTAAACGAAAAAAATCAAAATGATTTAAATAATAGTTTTTTCTAATCTGGTATCTTTCTAATATATTAAAAGTAGGAGAAGTTATTTTCTCTTTAATCCCGAGTTTCTTAGTTAGGAATTGGACTAGTGTCGTTTTACCAGCTCCTAATTTTCCTTGTAGAATTAAGTAAGTGTTAGGTTGTAAGAAAGGCATTAGTAGTTGACTTAATTTTTCGTAATCAGTCATTTTTTTTATTGTCATTCGCAAGGTTGCCATTATTAATTTGTTGATTTTTTAAATCTCTTTTTTTTGCTTACTCCATTTTTTTCTCGAAGAAAAATCACAATAAAAAATATTAAAAAAGAGCTCTTGTAACTCAGAGGAATAGAGTGCTTGTTTCCTAAACAGGTTGTCGGAGGTTCGAGTCCTTCCAAGAGCGCCATTTTTCAAAAAAAACAGATAAAAACTAAATATTAAAAGCAATGCCATGAAAACATGCTCCTATTGTAATAAACCGGAAAAAGAGACGTTAGAAATGACACATTGAAGAGTTGATAGGACTTTTTCAATAGGTGGTTCTCCCACTGATTACTGCGATTGTGAAGTTACCACTGCTCCTGTCTATCGCGAACTAGGCCACGATGTTTTTCCAACTAATAACACAGCAAATAACATTCCCCAAAACAATTTGCCGCCAATAATACAACAAAATACTCCTCCAACGCAGCCGCAGAGAAAAAAACAAGACAAAATTTTATTTTGAAAAACATTTGGTGTTTTTCTTATCGCTTTTTGTGTTATTGTCATCTTGTGAAAAAGTGTAGATGAGTCAAAAGCAAAAAAATCCCCTAATTAAAAGAGGAATTAAAGAGAAATAACACTAATGATTGTAATCAGAAAAAGTATTTTTGCCTTGTTAGCTCAGTTGGTAGAGCACTTGACTCTTAATCAATAGGTCGTAGGTTCGAATCCTACACAAGGCACCAGAAATCTTTCCAAGCACAAAAAATTTGTTTTTATTAGTAGTTTTTTGGTAAGTTGTTTTTTCAATCCCTAGATTTCCATGCTAAATTAGCGTTTGTTGCAGTTTACCAGTTTTTATGATTTTTTCAAAATTAGTTTAGTTTTTTTACTAATTCCGTCTTATTCGTGGAAATCGTTAAAAATAATTTTTTCCCGCAAGTTATTTACTAAATAGCCTCGGTCATTAAAAAATATTCCTTCACTAGCCAATTTTTTTCTTTTTATTTCGGGTCAACTTCCTTCTCCTCTACCCGTGGCAAATCCTCCTAGTGAAAAATTAGAATTAATAACACGATAACAATGAATAGTTTCACAAGAAAAATCACGAAAGTTAGTTTTTGTCACACAACCACACTGGCTTAAAATTTTACCCACCACTCGGGAATAATGAGGGCTGCCATACGCCGCCACGGACAGATATTTGTAAGTTGAAACTTGACCTGTTGGTATTTGGGAACACAGTTTATAAACACGAAGAGGACTTTTCATTTTTACTTAATTTTTTTCTTTTTCCGAAGCCGAATTATTAAACTCATCGGAGAGAATGGTTTTTCTCGGAACTATCTTTGCTCGTAAGGTTAGGTTTAACTTTTCAGCACAACTCACTAAATCATTTAAAGACACACCGAAGTAACGATATTGACTTTTCCTTTTAAAATCCTTCTATATTTCCGATATTTATCGAATATAATGGCTCTATTTTCTGAATTAACTTCTCATAACTAAGATTGTTTTCTTGTTGATAAACCGAAATCTCTTGAATAATTGTTTTTCTAATTTCATCCATAAGTTCA